TTTATCAAATATCTCTAATTAAATGAAAGCAATTGCTTGTAATTACTTTTTTTCGACGGAAAAACAAAAAACTTTATAGCGTAAAAATGACCAGAGAAGTTAGAAAATAGTTTTGATTGTTTAATGTAAGATTTTGAATATATAATACTGGGCTCTCTTGCACAAAAACGAGAGACCGTATATATAATGTTCTATATAATTTAAAATACTCATAAGAAAATCATAAGATTGGTAAGTAAAGCTTTAATATTTGTTTTAATGTAAAAACAAAAGAAATATAAGTAAGATATATAAATCGAAAAATTACTAGGGTATCTGTAAAAAACAAGTTGCTCCTATAAAATAAAAATAATTTATCATTTTTTCTTTGTACAAATTTTTTTTTTGCGATGTTTAGAAAAATAATACAAATAAATTTGTTTTGCTGTATGTTAAAAAAATACTACGGTAGAAAAACGCAGCTTAGTTTAATTACACTTTTCTTTTGTTAAAAGCCTACTGTGACGTCAAATACTAAAACTTTTATGAATTAAACGCACTTCAAAGGAATTGCCAAAGTCTGTAGGTTGCGACGCATAATTTGAAGACTCCGAGTAGTTGGAAAAAAATGGAGAAGACAAGCTTCGGCAAAAATTACAACATTTGTTTTTCACCGTATGCATTCATTATTTATTTTTAATCAAAAAAATTTGGTTCAAATCTTTTTTTTAACATTATCTTAAATATGAACACAACTTGTGTTGGGAGTTTGGGATCCCTTTAAGGTTTCCTTTATTGTTCCTTGTTATATATTGTTTTGAATTTTAGGTAAAGTTTTTTAGTTATATAATAAAGTATTTTAAAAGTAATCTAGATGACGCTTCAAGGTTTGGTTTATCTTCCCTTTTTAAATATTGTTTAAAAAATTTTTTTGCTTTATTGAGTTTTACTATAAAAATATGTAAATAAAAAAATCTATTTGTTGCTTTAAGGTTTGCTTTATTGTTGCTTTCTATGTTTCATTTTAAAAGCAGGGATTATCTTTTTTCTGGATATTTCTGGAAATCTGGATATTTTTTTCAACTTATAGTTTTTCTGGATATTCAAAACATTTTCAATACATGCAAGTTGAGGCATATATTTTTGTAATATATTTGGATTTTAGGCTTTTTCCTTCATCAATCATAGAAAAATTATGAAAAGTATAAAAAATAAAAAAATAAAAACAACTTAGCTAAAAGCGAAATTAAAAAAAAAAATAAGGGAAAATACATTCCGGATTTTTTCCAGATATTTTATTCAAACAATTTTCCGGATTTTTAAAATATGACTAGGATGATCTATGTAAAAGTTAGATTTTTTTTGTTTGTCTGAATTATATTTTTAAAGTATCTTTCAAAAGTCTATATTGCCTTATGGTTTGCTTTATTGTTCCTTGTTATATACTGTTTTAAATTTATCTCAAGTTCTTTAGTATCAAAATAACACATTTAAAAGAAAACTAGACTTCTTAAAATTTGGTTTATTCTTTTTTCATATTTTTTTAAATTTTATAGTTGCATATTTTTTTAAAAGTTACCTCTTGTTTTTACTGAATTTTACTATAGAAATATCTTTATAAAAGTTTTCACCTTAAGTGTTGTTTTAATCTTCTTTTTTAAATATTGTTTCAAAAGTCACCTTAAGGTTTTATTTGTTTTACTGAGTTTACTATTAAAAAATCTAATATTTTTTAATGAAAAATACTATTATATATTTGAGGTTTTTGTTTGATTTGACGCAATTGAGGTTGCCTTAAGGTTTGTTTTATTGTTTTTTACCTTCTTTTTTTTTAAAGTCACTTAGGTTTTTTGTTTGGCTGATTTATATTTTTATAACATCTTTAGAGAGTCTTTGTCGCCTTACAGGTTTGTTTCTTGTTAAATATTATTTTAAATTTTACCTTTTATAACTAGTTTCTTTAGTTATAAAATATAGTATTAAAAAATAAGTCTAGTGGATGCTTTAAGGTTTGGTTTATTCTTCTTCTTTATACCTTGTTCAAAAGCCATCTATCTTTTTAATTATTTTTTTATGTTGTTTAAAAAATCAACATCCCAAATCTCAAAGACATGTTGTGTTTATATTAAAGTGAATGACAAAACAAATGTTTGGGCTAAATTTTTTTGAATAAAACAAAAGAATAAATGAATACCAAGAAAAACTAACTTTTTTATTTTTGTCTAAAAATAAAAAAGTTAGTTTTTTTTTTTTGTTGTTGGCCTAAAATCAAAGTTAATTTTTTTTTATTGTTGGCCTAAAACCAAAATTTAAAAAAAGCTGAATTTCTGCAAAAATTAATTCTACACTATTAAATCTTTTAAATGGGATTAAAATCATGTATCAGGAATGATAAAGAACTCTATGATGAGTAACTTGCAAAAAAATTATAAAATATTATAAACTGCTTTTACTACTGTTACCATGAAAACCAAACCAATAAAAAGACTTTGAGAAAGGCTATTTCGATAAAAAAATCCTAAATTTCAAATTTTGTACTAAAATGACAACCACTGAAAAAAGATTAGTTTGAAGGAATGATTTTTTTTCATGATAACAATTGCTATAGTAACTTAGAAAAAACTGTTTTTCATGGTTAAGGGACCTGGGAATCAAAGAAGTTTAAAACGCTTTGACCCTTAAAATATCCTGATATTTTTTATTATGTTATGAAAAAAATAGCTCAAGATTAAGCTCATTTATTAAAGTTAAAAATCAAAAATGGTTAAATTCAGCTAGCAAAGTTCTGACTTATTTAATGTTTAACTATATCAATTTTTTTTTATATAAGGTTTTGTTAAATAATAGGTTTTTAGTTTGATGCAAAACTTTTTTAGACTTTAAATTTTGGACCATAATGTTGAAACGTAATGGTTGGTAAGGACGTTGCTAAGATAAATAATTTAACTTGGATAAATTTATTGAAAAAAAAGTAAAAAAATATATATATAAAAGTTTTATAAAAGTTAATATAAAATATAAAAATTCAAAACTTTTTAAAAATACAGAAATTTCTCTTTAAAAATACATTTAAAAAAAATTTGATACATTACAAAAGTTTTGGTTAACATCCATCCACCTTAAGATTTTCTTGTTTGGCTTAATTATGTTTTAAAAAAACCTGTAAAGGGATAGATGTCAGATATTTATTATATTTTAAAAATATCTTTTACAAGTCTTTATGTTTTCTTAAGCTTTCCTTTATTATTCCTTGTTATATAGTGTTTTAAATTTTATGTAAATTTTTTTATTAATAAAGTAAGATTTTTTAAAAAAAATCTAGGTGACTTTAAGGTTTGGTTTATTCTACCATTTTATATATTGATTTAAATTTTACCTTATTCTTTTTTTAACTATAAAAGTTTCTTTATCTTTAAAATATATTATTTAAAAAAAATCTTGATGACACCAAGGTTTACTTTATTCTTCCTTTCATATATATATTGTTTTAAAAATTTCATCTCTTTTGTTTTACTGAATTTTACTATAAAAATATACAATTAAAAAAAATCTATATGTTGCCTTAAAGTTTGTTTTATTGTTGGTTTCTATTTTTCATTTTAAAGTCACAAGTTTTTGTTTGGCTGAATTATATTTTTTAAATATCTTCAAAAAGTCTCTATGTTGCCTTACAGTTTTTTATATTGTTTCTAGTTATATTTTGTTTTAAATTTTACTTTAAGTTTCTTTAGTTATAAAATAAATATTTTAAAAGAACTAGATTACACTTTAAGATTTAGTTTATTCTTCATTTTCGTATATTGTTTTAAGTGTTTTATTATTATTTTAAGTGTTTTATTGTATATTGTTATAAGTCACCTCAAGGTTCTTCTGTTTTACTTAATTTTACTATAAAATTATTTTGTATAAAAATCTAGTTGTCATCTTGTTTTTAAAAGTCACCTTAAGGTATTTTTTGGTTTTCTGAGTTTTACTTTAAAAATATCTAATAATAAATATGGAGGTTGCCTTAAGGTTTTATTGTTGCTTTTTAATTTTTATTCTAAAAGTCACCATCAAAGTTTTATAATAACAAACAAATCAAAGTTTGTTTGATTTGTTTGTTATTATAAAAGTTTGTTATTATAAAATTTGTTTGTTATTATAAAAAGAACTATTAAAAAATGCAGAGGTTGCCTTAAGGTATTGTCCATAAGTTGCGCAACAACAAAAAAATCCACGTTAAGTTTTGTCTTTTCGCTACAAAAACAATAGATGTTGGCACTGAATAAAGGTATATTTTATATTTTAAAATATTATTTGATTCACGTTTCAGCTTACAATATATGGTTTGCATGGTTTTTTTTTTTTTTTTTTTTTTTGAGGTAAAAATTAGTTTTTAGTTAGTAAATATTATATCTGTCATAAAATTATACTGTGAAATTACTTTAAAATAATTCTTTAGGAAATTTGTGAAATAATAAAAGGGATGTAGTGTCCCAAAACGAACATTAGCCTTAAATTAAATTTTTTTCCTATTATCTGGTGTCCAGGATGATGCTGTATAAAATAATAATTTTTAACTAAGAGCACAAAAACTGGTTTGAAACTAAGAAATATATGTGAAATTAACAATAGATAAAAATGATTTCCCATCTGCATACTAGATTTATAAAAAAAAACTGATTAGAACTAAAAAAAAGCCATAAAAAAATGTAAAATGTCGGACTGCAATAACTCATTTTGCTTGGGCAAGTGTATAAATAATTTTTAAGAAATGATTTTTATGAATAATTAATAAATGATTATTGTGAATGTCTTTTATTTATCACTATCATTGTTACATGAATGTCTTTTATTTATCACTATCATTGTTATATTTTTATTGTTTGCATTTTGATTGATTCTTTCCCATAATTCATAAAATCTATCTGCTTTTTTTTTTTAATTTTTTTTTTTAAACTAATTTTTATTTGTTCTTGATTTAAAATATCTGTTGTAACACATGTAGTTTGTACAAACACATGTAACACATGAAGATTAGCTTTTAGAAGAAATAATTTTGATCTTTTTAGATACGATTATGGTGATGAAATTAAGAAAATGTTCTGGCAGACCATGGTGTGTTTTATTTATGTTAATATTTATTTTGTAGTTAATTATTTTTTATTTAATAATTATTATCATAACTCTATCAAATTTTCTAAATTTTATTTTTATTTTAAAAAATGATTTTATCTTTAGAAAGTTTTAAATTTTGGTTTATTACTATCATTTTTTGTTCAACATAAGAAGTTCAAGCTAATACGTTTTGCTGTGTTACTTTTACTTAAAATATTAAAAATTATTTATAAGGTTTTAAGGTTTTACAAAAGTGGTGTGAGGAGAGGGGGAGTGTGTGAAATCTAAAAATGAATGATATGACAGTTTTTTGTTTTCATTTATTTAAATTTCATTTATTTAAATCTATGGACACTTATTGTATTTTTTGAAATATACATTTATTGCTAAATGTTAGTAACATTTCAAAAATTACTAACATTTACCAGTACTTAAATATTTGTTAATAATTTAAAAATTTTAAAGTGCTTTTCCTGTTCGATTAAGTTTTTATGTTAACTGTTCAGTCAATTTGTTGTTTAGAAATTAGGTGTTTTGAAAGTTTCATTGGAAAATCCATTGTTTGATGATTCTGACTCAGAAATTGAATATCAATATCATTCCACTATTGATAATATTACTGAAACAAGTTTTACAAAATGTGATCTTATTTTTAAAAAAGAAAATGAGTTAGTGTGTTTATCACCAAACAAAGAAACAGAGTTTATTGCTGTACTTCCTAGTTTAATTACAACTCCTATAATTGAAAGATGTGCTTCTTGGGAAGAACTAAAAACTTTTTCAGAAGCTTCCAATAGCGATGTTCCTAATAAAGACCTAAGACCTAGAAGATCAAATGATTTTGTCAACCTTCTAAACACATTGCAACTGGATGATATTGGAAATTATATTAAAACTGACAAAATCATTTTAATGATTGGTTCTAGATCTTATAGCGCTCTTAAAAGAAAGAAAGATAAAGTTTCAGAGACTAAAAAATTGGTTCGTTCACGAATGCGGTTAACTGCAAGATTATACTTATCTTTTAAAAGTATCTATAACAATCAGAAAGCTGTTAAACTAGATAATATCTTAAATAATGCAGCTGACAAGTACTGTTGAGAAGTAATCACCATAGTTGGAGAAGCTATTAATTCTTTATCAGAAAAATCAAATGAAGATTCGGACCATCTTTTATTAAGTGCACAAAAAAGTGGCTTAAAAATCAGTATACTTAATTTATTAAAGTTAACAGCAAAATTTTTGATCGGTTACTTTTTGGTCAAAAATGATGATTTAAAGTCTCAGAGAGTAGTTGACTTTTTAAAGGTTTTAAAGCTTTATGAGGATGATTTATTTGGTGATGCTTCTTATAATCTAAATTATCGTAAGAATATTGATTTGCAGAAACCAATTAATCTCCCAAATGAAGCAGATGTTCAACTGCTCATTGAGGAATGTAACAAAATTATGAATTCTATTGATGATTTTCAACATCCATGTGAATCATTTGTCACTATCCGATCTGCAACTGCCACATGTTTGACTATATTTAATGCCAGACGAGGTGGAGAACCAGTGCGGTTACACTTATTTCTGTGGAATGAGGCTTTAAACAAACAAGATCTGCCTGAAGAATTTGATATTGAGCAAATGTTTATCACTTATCAAACAGGAAAAGGTTCAGATCACACAGTTCCTGTTCTTTTTCCACCAGAATGCATAAAAGCAATGCGATATCTGACAAACAAAGAAGTTAGGAAAAATGCTGGAATTCCTGATGAAAACCAATATATTTTTGCCAGTACCCAAAAAAGCATGAGCCATGCTTGTGGTTGGCATTGCATAAACGAAATATTAATTCGTTTAGATAAAAAAGGTGCAATTAATGCCACCCAAAATCGACATCGTATTGCTACAATCTTGGCAAAGCTGGAGCTATCAGAAAAGGAAAAAACTTTAATTTATAATCACTTTGGACATTCAGAAAGAATCAATCAAAATGATTACCAAGCTGCTCTTGGATCCTTACAAATAAAAACAACAGTCAAAAGACTAAGAGATATTCAAGAAGTGACCAAGGTTAATCTAACTCCATTTAAGTCAATTATTTCTAATTCAGCTGAACAAGACTATAGCACTATAGGAGAACATGTAATACCAACTGATGGGGAGTAATGTTGATTGCTTTTTTAAAGTTAAATTTAATATAATAAGATTACTTTTTAATTGATTTATACTTTTATTTTTTTTTATTTTTTTTACTTATTAGTTAAGTTGATAACCAAAAATGATAGTATACTGAATAGTAATAATAATAATAAAAGTCAACTACTCTCTGAGACTTTAAATCGTCATTTTTGACCAAAAAGTAACCGATCAAAAATTTTGCTGTTAACTTTAATTAATTAAGTATACTGATTTTTAAGCCACTTTTTTGTGCACTTAATAAAAGATGGTCCGAACCTTCATTTGATTTTTCTGATAAAGAATTAATAGCTTCTCCAACTATGGTGATTACTTCTCAACAGTACTTGATTGCTTTTTTAAAGTTAAATTTAATATAATAAGATTACTTTTTAATTGATTTATACTTTTATTTATTTTTATTTTTTTTACTTATTAGTTAAGTTGATAACCAAAAATTATAGTAAACTGAATAGTGGTTTAAAAATAAGACCAGTCCTTGATTTAAAAAAAGGTTCAACTGATTTTTTATTTGTTTAACTTAAGTTTTCTAAACTTAAGTTAAGTAATCTGTTTTTTTAATTTATATTTAAATTTTAATGAAAATTTAAAGCTAGAAAAGTTGTTTGCAAAACAGGTTAACAAATTAAAGTTTGAAATCACAAAATAAATTTAGCCTTAATAAATATTGTATGAAGTAAAATAGCTCCAAAATAAGATTGTTTTAACATGTTTAAAAGGTTAAAAAATTATTTTTGATGTTTTTACTAAATAATAAGTTTTTAGTTTTGTTTTGTTTATGCTAAAGCCATTTTGAGTACATTTGATATGCCATAATTTTATTATTATTATAATCTCAGGTTAAATACTGATTGTCGATACTGTCCTCTTTTATGTTTTTTAATTTCATTTTTTTGGATTGTATAATTTGTCTCTGAAGGGTGTTAATAATTTCTATTTAGTTGATTTTACAAAGATATCTGGAAATAATAGTAAAGTGGATGGTGAAATAAAGACATGTCAAGTGCTAAAACTTGAAAAAGGTTTAATTGCTTATATTATGTTTTTTACCTTTTTTAAAATGCATTTATTAAGTTGGTATTCCCTATTTTAAAGTAAGGTTGATAAAATCATTGGAATTAAAATAAAACTTTTTTATTTAACCCTGGAACTATGTTTAAAGAAAATAAAAATATCTCAATTTCAACTTAAGGACGCTTGTTGAAGCCAATACTGACAAGGTTTGGTAAATCATCACACTGGGGTCATCCCACTGTGCAATGACCTCACGCTCTAGGAGAGGGGTTAATGGCTTTGTAATGCCTAATACGTTACTTGTTACTCAAGTGTCACGGTATTGTGACATGGAAAGGAGGGGGTCAAAAACAGTCGAAAATGGCATGACGTAATTTATGGACGAGCCCACTGGCAAACACTAGTCAAAGGCTTTCTCAAAAATTTTAAACGTTTTTTATTCATTTGGAAGAGTTCAATTTTTTTTAACTCTATTTAAATATTATAATTATTTTAAACAATAATGGCATTTTAACTTTTTTGAAAGTAAATAATCAGAAATTGATAGTTTTGAAACTGCGTATGCTATTGTAATTGTCAATAATTTTGGACGTACTTAAGTATTTGTATATTTTTACTTCGAACCTCTATATATTCACTTTTAAATATTAATGTCCTTTCCCCTTTTCCATCACTTCTAAATATTCGTGTCTTTTCCCTTTAATTGTGTGAATTTTTTCCTTTTTGCTTATTATTTACTAAGATAATTATTATTTCTTTTTAAATCAAGGAAACGAAGTGTTGAAAATGTCTTTACTAATTTTATTTTATTCAGAAAAGGCGATCAATAAAAAGAAAAATTTAACAGTTGAAAAAAAGTCATGGAATAAGTCTAGTAAAGTTGCGTTTAACAAAGAATTTGCACTTCATCTTAAAAATAATCGTGGATATCTAGGTATTTTATCAGTTTTACTATTATGAAGTCTTTTTATTTGCTTTTAATGCGGTTTTCAGTTTACGCCCAGTACAAGTGTACACATTAAAACCATAAAAAACTAGTTACGCTGCTCTTTTTAACGTGTTAGTGTTATTTACAAAAACACATTTATAGAAAAGTTAATCCATAAACAGTAAAATCTTTAAAATTTTAACTATTTATATGTTAAAACGGCCTGTAATTCGGCTATGAAAAAATTAGATTCACTTGTTGAGATTTCGTTTATTATTATTTTTTTCTAAAATTAATAATTTTATCGTTTTCTTTTTTTAGACCGTAAAGAAATAGAGGTATTTGCAGAAAAATTTTGTTTAGACCTCAAACAAATCAGAATTAGAATTGTTAATACTCGAAGAATAAAACAGAGTTTTCGGAAGAAGACAGTTGCATTTATGGGAATTGACGAATGCTACTAGGTTGCTTTTATGCCCTTAGCGGGCTGATTTGACAAAAGGAAGCCTGCTACCAAAAAATTAAATGTCATTTAATATCATTAAATCTGTAGATTAATACGCGTTATTTTAGCATATAAGTATAGTATAAATAGTATAAACCTATTTCCTAAAAATAGGTAACTTGCTCTTTCTATTAAAATTTGTGTTAAAACTGTAATATGGTGCCTACTTGCTTCAGTTTAAACCCTGAGTATTTTAAACTGTTATTGTTTTTAAGCTTTGTGATTCGAGTTTTTTTTATATTAATGTATTAAAACTTTATAAAATAATAAAAAAGAAAATTGTTATTATTTTGAAATATGCTCCGAATATAAACGATAAACGAGGTAAATAAATATTTGTTAACTTAATCTTTATAAAAAAAATTTTTTACATATAAACAAAAATCTGTCACCTTACAGTTGATCTAGGGTTTTTTTTTCCTTTAGGCGACTTAAAAATATACAAAAAACGTTAAGGTGACAGCAAATTTATATAACTCGTATAACTTTTTCAGTAAATATTAAATTCACGAACAAGTAACTGATTAATCATCATTAATCTCTAGCGAATCTGTTGCACGTTTTTTTTTTTTAAAAAAAGTTGAAAATTTTCATGAGTCGCCTTATGGTAGTTAATTTTTTACTGTTGCCTTAAGGCGCATCTAGGGTTATATATATATATATATATATATATATATATATATATATATATATATATATATATATATATATATATATATATATATATATATACATATTTATTTTTACTTTTTAAATTTAATAATAATCATACTAATTCAATAACATTTTTTAAACATTTGCTTTCAGACTGATAATGATACAAGTTATTTTTTGATTTAGATTCTGTATCTCAATGATATCCTGGCTTATCGATACGATATCCTGTAAATCCACTTACACACATAAATTTTACTCACACACGTAAATCCGGTAAATTCACTCACACACATAAACCTTAAAAAAGATGTTTATATTTTTATCTATAAATTGTAAATTTTATATAAATAAATTGTATATTTTTTATGTTTTTCATTATATATTACTATTTGTATTAAAAATCGACTTTGGAAATATTGCAAGTGCAGAGTTAAACATACAATTTTGTTTTATTTGCAAATTCAATATACACTATAACCAAGTTTAATCACGTTTAATAATATTTTGCGATATTTTCTCCAGCGCATTTGAGCGTTGATTTAACGTTATATTTCAACCTTTACTCGACGTCTTTGAGTCACGTTAAATCAACGTTTTACTACCAACGTTACAAATCCTTGCAAAATCGACTGCTTTAACAACGTTAAAGTAACGCTTTTCAAGTAACGTTTTTTCAACGTTAAGTTGCGGCGCCTATGCAACGCTTTTAAAGTAACGCTTTTTCAACGTTTAGTTGAGACATTTTTGTAACGTCTTTTAGTAACGTTTTTTCAACGTTACGCTACAACGTTTAATCAAAGTCTCTTTAACAACGTGACATATCTTTGCAAAATCGATTACTTTGTCAACGTTTCCGTAACACCTTTTGCGACCGGTTTTCAACGTTGATTCAACGCTGAAATGTTTGCTGGGTAGTTTTTGCACAAAAATCATGATCACGATTAACTGATGAATCGTTAAAATATTTTGTTTTCTTGAAAATTTTTTACAATAAAAATAAGTCATTATAAATTTTATAAAGTTTCATTATAAAATTTATAATGACTTATTTTTATTGTAAAATAAAAATAAGTCATTATAAATTTTATAATGAAACTTTATACTTTCATTATAATTTCTTATAAAGTCATTATAAGTTTTATTATTTAACAAGAAAAACCTAAAACCACGGTTAACCGCGGTTTTTTATTGATGCGGTTTTTTTGAAAACCCTAGCAACCCCAATTTTTTTTTTTTTTTTTTCAATTTATTATTTTTTTTCTTAGTTTTATTATATAATTACTGTGGATGTAGTAAAAACTGTTGAACTATCAATATTGACGATTTATTTGTCTATGGGATTGTGCCCCTTGCATCGATATACCAACATAATTTTATCCATTCAACGGCGCACGTTGCAGAAAAATCACTGAACAATTTTTAATTCAGAAAATAAATAAATGAAAAATGCAGAAAAAAAATCAATAGTAGTGCAAACAAAAATGGTTTCCATTGAAATTTTTAAGCCTTTTTATACCCAAATTGTTTAAACTTTGCAGCACAAGAAAAGAAAAGTAATGTTTTAAACTTTTTTGTGCTACCTTTGGCTCAGGAATAAAAACTTCTTTAGTATCACAAGTCATTACGTAAATAATAATAAATGGTAATAAAAAGTTGAGAAAAGTATTTTATACAGAAAATTTGCCAAGATTTACAGCAGTTTAGAACACATTAATTAACATTCATTAAAAAATTTTGACTTTGTCTCACTTGATTTTCAATCCATTTTGAATATTGCTATGGTATTGGTAGCAGTCAGAAAGGTTTACAAATCAAACTGAGTAGTTATTCATTAATATAATCAACCAAACATCATGTAAAGTTTCTGCTGCTTTAGCTAAAGTTGTTTTTCTAAATTAACATTAATATTCTTTGCATATGCATTTGGAAGTGTCTCAAAATAGTTATGTTACAAAACCAATCTTGCTGACTCTTGACTCAGAGGGGCAATATGATTGTTGTCTATGACGTTTGTGTTGCAGTTTTTAAACTATTGTTTATAAACTTTGACAAAATTCACAAATAAAAACAATCAAAAGCTACAATAGCTTAAGATTGTTAGTTTAGCTTTAACAGTTTAAATAGTTTCAAGAGTAATAAAGTTTCTTTCAAAGTTTAGAATAAATCATTGTTTTTTCAAAAGTTGGGCCCAATACTCGATTAAGGCTAGCAATGGCAGAAGAGATATTTGAGCATACTGTTCCCTTGAGTGGTTTTCATTTCGGATAGCGAGTAACATTAATCAAATTTGTTTTTATAAACGTCTCTAAACAATGCACAATGATGCATTGAAGTACTGATTATTGTACAATTAACTATTCATAGTATTGATTTGTAGTTTTGCCATTTCATCTTTTATTACTAATATGAGCATGATACTGAGTAAGTTTTACTGTGCTCTGTCTGTCAACAATTTAGTAAAACCTCTATACTATTCTTGTTTTCTTAATTTTATCATAGGTTGTCGTTATTAATAAATATTTTTTCTGGTTCTGTTTGTTTTTGTTTATAAGTATAAAATCTTATAAAGTTTGAATCTTTTTTTTCATTTTTTATGATTTTTCCTTTGAGCTTCTGTTAGATAATGTATTTTTTATATTCTAAGAACACTGGACATCCAGATAAGTTGTAGCACTCTGGATATACAGATGATTTTAGTACGGCTGGTATATCAGACAGCTGCCTTGAGTTTTGCATTTTTAGGGGGTCCCTTTTGAAAATCATTTCAGTAATAAATAAAAGCGCCTGCATTTGGTTAAGTAAAATATTTTTCTGAGACAACCATTAATGAGTTTTATTTATTCTAGATACAAATTTTAGATAGTTAAAATAATTTTTGGTCTCGTTTGTTTCTATACAATGGCTGTCAAATGTATATAAAAGACTAATATATATATATATATATATATATATATATATATATATATATATATATATATATATATATATATATATATATATATATATATATATATATATATATATATGTATATATATATATATGTATATATATATATATGTATATATATATATATATATATATATATATATATATATATATATATATATATATATATATATATATATATATATATATATATATATATATATATATACAAATTTTAAATGGAATATTTAAGGGTTTCGTACATTGAGCATTTAATGTATGCAGTCAAAAACATTTAGAAAATGAACTAAAATTCCTTATTCAAGTATTTGCCGAAAATGGCTAAAAACAGTCCAATCTAATAAAAATCATAAAAGAAATAAAACGAAAGTACAAAAAATCTCTAGTGACTACGAAAAACATTGACAACATCACCAGTACGTGTCCAACGATTTCATTACCTTGGGTACCAAAATTGTCTCCCAAATTGCGTAAAGTGTTTAGGAAGGCAGGATATAAAACAATCTTCAAATCAAACTTAAACCTAGAGGCAATATTAATATCAAGAAATAAATCCAAACTACAAACGAAAAGTCAACCAGGAGTCTTATTAAATATCATTGTAGCAAAAAGTATATAGGTGAAACAAAAATGCAAATAAGAACACGCATGCAACAACACAAAAACAGTACAATAAGAAATAAAACAGAACGATCTGCATTAGCCACACACATGAGACATTGTACACAACAAATTAACTGGGACAGTTGCAAAACTCTAAAAATTGATGCTGAAAAGTTTGATAGAAAAGTTCGTTAGGCACTTGAAATACAGTACCATGACTGTGCCCCTCAACAAAATGGTATCAATTTAGATGAGGGACAATATGTGTCAACAAAATTTTGGACACCATTTTTAGCGCACTACGTCAGAAAAAGGAGAAACCATTCGATTCAATAGAACTGCCGTTTATTAAAAAATAACATATTAACAAAAGCAAACAAAAAACCTTTAAGCTAAAAATGCATATGAAAAATATATATGAGAGTAAAGTCTACGCATTGTGTTGGCCACTGCGGACATAAAAAATAACCAAACTTGTGATAATACCTAAAGAAGAAAACCAAAGAAGATTTAGTATTTTTTATACATTTAGTATAAAATATTAGTAGAGATTTTCTCATTTACCCCTTGAAATAGCTTTGAATGGTCGTAAATGCTTTTAGGAACCATACTCTAGGGAAGAGCTATTAGGGATTGAATAGAGTTAGCTATAATTATTTACAATTAGATTGTTATTGATGTTTTACATGAAAAAATCATATTAAACATTTGTTTATAGGACATTCATATTGTACTTTTTACGAGCTACCTGCAAATTGAAAGCTACTTTAAAAGTGTTTGTGGTTGTAATTGCTCTTTTTACATGAAATTACAGCTTTATATGCAACACGGGGCTATTTACGTAATACGTGACAGTCTTAGGGTAGGCAGGAGGTATTGGAAAACGTCACCGAATATTACGTGACAAAAAAATTTTTTAAGACTGCGTAATTAGTTTAAATTGAAAAC